GAAGAAGCCCTACAAACTCCGGAGCCCTTCATTGAAAGATCCTCATCCGGGGACACCCTAAACCCTAAACCCTAAACCCTAAACCCTAAACCCTAAACCCTAAACCCTAAACCCTAAACCCAAGCCTAAAGCCCTTCTCAGCCCCAGAGCAATGCTCATCCAGGGACACATGCAGCAGACGCATCGTGTTCTCGTGGGCATGTGCAGTGATCTTCTGTACCATGTCGTGGATCTCCGGCCAGGTCCACTTCTTGGCCATGACCTCAGGACACGGTTTAGGGGTTAGGGTTTGGGGTTTAGGGTTTAGGGTTTGGGGTTTAGGGTTTAGGGTTTAGGGATTAGGGTTTAGGGTTTGGGGTTTAGGGTTTAGGGTACAGTGAATCCCAGAAAGTTGGAACATGGATGTAGGATGATTAATGCTTTATCTCATCCCTACACCCTAAACCCTAAACCCTTTATCCCTAAACCCAAAACCCTGAACCCTTTATCTTAAGGGTCTGAGGATAATGAGATTCCAACCTTTCGGCCTCTACTTTAGGGCGTCGGGCTTCTGACTGCGGGTGTGCGACATGGGGGGGCATTCCTTAAGGAAGTCAAAGGAATGTTAGTGGCTAGTGCTTCTGACAACAATATAGGGGCCTAAGTACTTACAAATACCCTTTTCCCTAAACCCTAAACCCTAAATCCTAAACCCTAAACCCTAAACCCTAAAACCCTAAACCCTAAACCCTTTTCCCTAAACACTCCACCCCTCAACCCTCAACGTGCAGGTGGCCGCCTCGAAAAACAGAATAGGGGTTTAGGGTTTGGGGTGTAGGGGTGTAGGGGTGTAGGGTTTAGGGGTGTAGGGTTTAGGGGTGTAGGGGTTTGGGTTTAGGGAACACAATGGCAATACGGCTGATGATATAAATCCTGCATTACCCACAATAAGGAATACACCATAATTCCCACAGTTTAGGGTCTCTAAGGTAGTGCAGGATTTAAATCAGAAACAGTAGGAATGATAAAGATAACAATAACGATTGCACTAGTAGTCGTCAAAATGATGGGATAATCTGAATCAGCCATACTGATGGTAAGGCTACCCGCAATCATCAAACGGAACCCTTACCTCCCGCACGCCCCCTTTACTGCTTCCGCGGGCACCGCTTCCCGGATGCACTTAGAATATGCACCGGTGGGCGCTCCAGTGGGCTTCTCCTGCCAACGGGAGGTTTAGGGTTTAGGGTTCCTTGGCATCGAGGAGTTTGGGATTGGGCAGGTAGATTGACAGCGGTCGTCGTCGTCGTATCACCCGACGCAGCCGCACACGGTGGTGGTGGCAGGTGGTCGTCGTCATCGTCGTCGGGATCATGAGTACTTGCTGCCGTTCAAGCGGCCCTCACTCTCCCACCATTCTGCATAATCTTATGATGCTAACGATCATTTTGATCTTTGTACTCACCCTCCTTCGTCTGTGCCGATTACGCTTCATGGTGGTTTCCATCTTCCTGTTGAGCTCTAAACCGTAAACCTCCAAGAACAAACCAAAAACAGCTAAAACCCAACACCCTAAACCCTAAACCCTCATCTTCATCTGGAACCTCGGAATGCCCAGTCCCCCCCACCCAAAAAAAAAAGAAAAGAGGGCAGGCAAGCCTGGGGCTCCACCACGCCGACGTGATAGCCACGGCTAGCAGCCTGCGCTTTGATGTTTAAAGCCGACCCTAAACCCAAGACCCTAAGGTTTGGATTTAGGGATTTGGGGTTTAGGGTCTAGGGTATAGCGTTGGAAGACTTTTGGGGGTGTTTGAACGAGAGCTGCGTGAAAAGTCCTGCACTTCTGCTAGGAAGGGGCAGTAAAGGCTTTGCAACCCTGGCAGTTTCCGAAACCGTAGGGTTTAGGGTTTAGGGACCCGAGGTTTCGGGCTCAGCCTCTTGCGACTCGAGGTGCAGGCTTTAGGGCTTCGCTTTGGTTCTGTGAGGCGGTGCGACACTTCAAGCTAGAAACCACATCGAGTCTGAGATGTGACCGAAGGAGAAGGGATAGTAGCGGTAATGATAACAGTAGTAGTAATAACAGTAATAGTACTAAAGATAAGAATGACAACAGCAGCAGTAGTAGTAGTAGTAGTAGTAGTAGTAGTAGTGGTAGTAGCAGCAGCAGTAGCAGTAACAGTAACTAGTAGTAACAGTAGCAGTAGTAGTAGTAGTAGTAGTAGCAGCAGCAGCAGCAGGAGTAGTAGTAGTAGTAGTAGTAGCAGCAGCAGCAGTAGTAGTAGTAGTAGTAGCAGCAGTAGTAGTAACAGCAACTAGTAGTAACAGTAGCAGTAGTCGCAGTCGCAGTGGTGTCGCGGAAATTGTTAGAAACCTGAACATGCATAGCAGGTTTGTTTGCCTCGGCATGATGATTGCCGTTCTGGTGTACAGTCGTGTTCCTGACATGGCGTAGCTGTTGTTGCGCCGAGCTTGTGTTGAGATCTAGAAGCAAATTTGCTGCTTAAGCCTGGAGCATGCATGACTGGACACTAAAGGGACCATGCAATTGCATCATCATCATCATCATCATCATCAGCATAGCGACAACCACCGTACCACAAACAACAACAACAACAACAACAACAACAACAACAACAACAACAACGACAACAACAGCAGCAGCAACAACAACAACAACAACAACAACAACCACGACGACGACGACGCCGACGACGACGACGACGACAACAACAACAACAACAACAACAGCAGCAGCAGCAGCAGCAGCAGAAGCAGCAGCAGCATCATCATCGACATCACCATCATGAACACTGAACCTAACGATCCCGAACCCCGAATTCCACAAGGTGTAGCTTTCTGGAGTTTCAAGCTTGCGCACCATAGTAAACAAGCCATGTCGAGGATCCCTTAAAGGAACCCGTGAAGGATCCCTTTGCGCAGTCACATAAAGCTCCCCGCCTCGATGGCGGCCTTTACACCCGCTGGCCCAGCACCCAGAACAATCCTGGATTGAAGGCTTCGGAAATACCGACCACACATGATCCTTGCAAAAAATGCTTTGTGTTCTTGTCTGTATTCGATTATCGTAGCAATGACAAGCTGAGGCCACGAATATCACAGTGTTGCAGTCTTGAGTACGTGTAGTCATCACTATTACTTGCTCGCCTCCTGCGTGATCCTACTCCTCCTCCTCCTCCCCCTCCACCCCCTCCCCCTCCTCCTCCTCCTCCTCCGACTACTACGACGACTACTACTACTACTACTACTACTACGACAACGACGACGACGACAACTATTACTACTTCTGCTGCTGCTGCTGCTGCTGCTATTACTACTACTACCACCACCACTACCGCCACGACCGTTACAGGTACTTCTTCTTCTTCTACTTCCACTTCTACTTCCACTTCTACTTCAACTTCTACTTCTTCTTCTAGTGCTACTACTACCACCACTAACACTACCACCACCACAACCACCACCACCACGACTTCTACTTTCCTGCTTCTACTTCTACTGGCACCGGCACACCACCAGCACTGCCACTGCTGAAGGGTCGCAGGGTCTCTGCAAACAATGCATTGTCAATAGTAGAGATGCGATTAAAATATCTACATTCTAGTCATCCGAAAATCAAGTATGCAATCACCTGGCAATACTCGCAATCGCAATAGTCGTAGCGAACGTCACCTCAAAAGCACTAAACAAAAGAAAAAAGAACCCACCCACCCACCCCCAACGAATATGTATATATATATATATGTATGTATATATATATATATATATGTATGTATGTATGCATGTATGTATGTATGTACGTACATATGTATGTATGTATGTATGTATGTATGTATGTATGTATGTATGTATGTATGTATGTATGTATGTGTGTGTGTACATATACATATATATACATACATACATACATACATATGTGTGTGCATATATATATATATATAGAGATATATATATATATACCTACAAAGAAGATGATGGTGAATCATGACGAAAATTTTGGCAAGAATAGCATTACACAACAAATCAAAACACCATGTAACGACAAAACCAAACAAATCAATGGATGGCTAGAGAAGCAAAGGATGAATGAAACCATTGAAAATGTAAACGAATAAGTAAGCCAACACGCGTACGCGCACACACACACACACAAACGTACAAATGTACAAAACAAACAAACAAATTAATCAATAGTCAATCAAACTAAGATATAAACACACAGATGAGTACATGAAAAACAGACTACGGAAAAGACTATTCAAATAAGTAACTAGAAAAGAACAGCAGCACAGAAGCAACCATAGAAACAACTCCTGTCTATCTATGTACCTATCTATCTAACAATCCCAAAAATAGATGTGTCTATATATACATATATATGTACCGAAACGGAGCCATTGTGACTGATTACGACCTCCCTAATTCTACTGACCATTAGATAAAGATAGGCCCAGTGGCAGGTCGAAGGGCTTTCTCTCCGATGTCTCGGGCGCGGTGGCTTTGCCAACCTTGGGTCCCTCGACACCCTCCTGGAGAAAACGGCGCAGTAGGGTTTAGGGTTGAGAGTTTAGGGTTTAGAGTTTAGGGTTTAGAGTTTAGGGGGTTTAGGGTTTAGGGTTTAGGTAAGTTTCGCCAAGGGTTTGCTTAAAGGATTCCTTTACGGGTTCACGGTTACTGTAAGGGAGGGCTCTACCAGGGTTCCTGGGGAAGAAGACGCAGGAAGGCACTGGAGAGGTGGTTGAGGGTTTGGGGTTGTAGGGCTTTGGGGCTTTAGGGTTTAGGGTTTAGGGTTTAGGCTTTGGGGCTTTGGGGTTTTGGGTATAGAGCTCACGGTTTGTTTCTTTTGCTGGGGGCTTGTCAAGGTTCCTTTCAGGGTTCCTTTACGGGATTTGTAAGGGATCTAGTGGGGTTTAGGAAGTTTAGGGTGTGGGTTAGGTATAGGCCCCTTTAAGAATTCCGATAAGGGATATTGCAAGGGATCTTTCAAGAGGTCCGAATGTTTGAGGGTTTAGGCCCTGAGGGTTCAGGGTTTCGGATTCAGGATTTTAAGCAGATTTGGGATTCTCCCCTCGCCTCCTGCGCCGAGGCGATGCAGACACTGACTGCCAAAATCTTCGAATGCAACAGCAGGAACCTTTGAAGGAGGAACCTTTAAAGTTGTAAAACCAAACAACGAAGAACCCTCAAAGCGTACGCTCCCTAAACGACCTTCTAACTTCTAAGCCCAAAAAGCCCCAAAGGAGATCCCGAAACCGAAAGCTTGAAACATAAAACCCTAAACCGACAAAAGAACATTCCCTAAACCCTAAACCCTGAACCTAAAAATTCAAACAAAAGCTACATATCCTGCGAAGCCCAAAGGCCCCCCCCCCCCCGCCCCGCCAACCCACTCCTCCAAGAAGCGCAGGAACCCACCAGAGTCAAACCTGCGACGCTGCTGCAAGACTTTGGGGTTTGGGGTTTGGGGAGTAGGGTTTGGGGGTTGTGGGTTGTTTAGGGCTTGGGGGTATGGGGGTTTACATTTTGGGGTTCCTTCCTCACTTAGAGGGCTCCATAAGCAGTCCATAAGGGGCCTATAAAGGACTTGGGGTTTAGGATTCGAGACTCCTCCCTATACAGCTTTCCACAGGGGTTCCCAAAGGGATTTAAAACCTTCTATAGGAGCCTGAAAACTGATAGTGATAGAACCCTCTAAAAAAAAACAAATCCTGATAGAACCCAATAGAGGAACCCTCAGCCCTCATGGAACCCTACAGAAGAAGCCTCAACCCCAAACCTACTTTTCTGTGTTGCTTCGAAGAATTTCCTCGGCTTGGCGTTGCTACCAGTCAGATCGGTTTAAGGTTTAGGGTTCAGATGTTGTTTTCGACGATGGGCCGTCAAGAAAGTGTCGCTATCTGGTACGAACTATGACAGCACCCTACGAGAACTAGAACTCTACCATCGCTATTACATGACAGTAGAAACAACGTATCGCCATAATTTCTATACAATCTAACCGTAACTTGGCAGCGGTTTAGCTATGATAATCTCGCAGATTATGACAACAAGAATAATTTCTGCGGGATCTTGAAACCTTGGGGCTATGGGGCAGCTGGGTGGGTCGAAGGCTGTAACCTTGGAACACAACTCCTCCCTTCAACACCACGGCCCTAAACCCACGTAAAACCCTGAACCCTAAACCCGAAACCTTCCACCTTTTCCTAATATCCTAAACCTCTAAAGCAACAACCCCCCACCTCTGGTGTGGGTCCGCGGAAAATCTCTGAACCAAGATCTTGGCACGCGCCGGGTCCATGCCCACCAGCCGCAGGGCGTCCTTCGGGCTGTTTTGGGGTTTAGGATTTAGGGTTCCTCCGTTAAGCCAAGCTACTTTCAGGGTCATGGGCACGGTAGCAACTAATAGTCACGCCCCAATGAAGGTGCCTACAACCTTAGTCAATAATTAAATCCCCTGATCTTCCAAGCATTCTCCTTTCTATGGGCGTTTACAATGAAGATCTTATCATTTAGGGTTTATGCAGGCATCCATAGCGGTCTGTCCCGAAGCAACCAGTTGAGGACTAATTACGGACAAAGCCCGACGGCAGGCACACTGATGCGCAGAAAAAAGTCATGATGCGATCGGAATGGGATCTGTGCCGCAATCGGTTCCTGTACAACTGCGAAATCTCCTTGAGAACCTGCCGGTAAACACGGCTGGAGAAATGCCGAAATAATCTGTCACACACCTGCTTCGCAGTGCTGGGACTTTGCATGGGACTCCGACGCATCGCCAAACAGACGTTGAGCTGAGTTTCCATGGGCAGTTGCATGCAGACAGAACGCACGAAGAACGCGAGAAAAGACTGACACTTGTCAAATGAGAAGCACAAAAGAATATGTCTGATGCACCCAATCTGCTTTAACCCACACTTTTTCAGTAGGTGCAGGTCTGGCTGCTTTGTCCTACTTAGCAACACTAATGCTAACCAAGCCGTTCCAGCAGTGAAAGCAAAGCGCATTCTCATCACCGAAAACATCTGGAAGCCATCGCTGCCGCGAGCAACAGTCGAATAACAATTGCGTGAAAAGTGGACACAATAAGAACACATCCCAGCTTGGGACACCATCTCTACCCGAAAAGCAACTCCTGCGTCGGCAGAAAGCATACCGACTCTATTTTGAAAAGTGCTCGGCGAGAGTGGGCCTGACACGAAGGTCTACGCTTACAGACTTACGGGTGTAGTGCTTCGTGCCGAAAACGTCAGCAACGCTTCTGTGCAGAGCATACACCTGCGCCTCCGCAGCACGCATGCTCTTCACAGCTTGCACAGCTTGGCGGTGGCACTGGTCGACACACTTGTCGCTTTGAGAAAACACCGCTTTGGCAAACTCATTTCCAACGTCGCTATGGAACCAAAGATAACCAAAGCCACGCATGCTGCTCATGAGGTGCTGAGCGCCAATCCTGATGACTGTTGATTTTCACGATCCGCCAATCGCCGCTGCAGGTTTTAAGCGCTTGGGATATAGCAAACCAGATATCAAGGTTGCTGTGCTTCCACAGCTGCCTGACATCCCAGCCATGATGCAATAGCAGATAAAATCCTGTAGCAGCAATGTCCGAATCAGAGTAAATTACCCCGCCATCCCCGACAGTACAGCTGCAAGGACTGCAAAAATCTCAGCTGTGTCTCTCGTGTGATGCTCACCTGGCACATAATCGTGCACTACTTTGGCTTCACTCAGCACCTGGGTGGAACCATATGCGAACAGGTGAACGTCTTCGCCTTCAAAAAGCTTTGTCACAGCTTTACAAGTACGGGTGCGCCGCAAACTTTTGAACTGAAGCAACTCCGGTGGTTCTTGAAACAACCCATTGCAACTCAAAAGTGCTCAAAGTCGCAGGGAGCGTCAGCTGTTCTCTGCAACTCAACGTAGCTGGGCAGTGCACAAGCATATGTTCAACCGTAAGCTCTGCCTTACAAAGGGCATAGTCGTTAGCGACAGCAACAAAAACAACCTCAACGAAAACATTTAGGGTTTCGGGTTTAGAGCTCCTTTTGTAAGTGCCTTGTCAATAAGGATCCTATCCTATAAGGTTTAAGGCTTCCCGGAGTAAACTAGATCTCAATACCAGGCCTATAGCGCTTCGTTACAGCTTGGGTATAGAAAGGGCAGCTGTAGTCAGGATAAGTTCGAGCACATAACCCGAAGCCCTACACCCTCAACCAAATCTTTAAAACAAACGAACCTAACCCTAAACCCTCAACCAGGCCCGAAACCAGGCCCGAAGCCCTGAACCGAACACAACCAAGCCCTGCAACCTAAACCAAACGCTAAACGAAGGGTTTAGGGTTTAGGGTTTTGGGGTTTAGGGTTTAGGGATAGGCCGCTTAGCAGTTGGAATAGGGCTTTGGTGTGTCTTGCAAAAACTAGAGAAAGGTTCTGCATATATTGAAAACAGTATAACCATATCACGGGACCTTAAGGAATACTACTCGGTAAATGCTTCTACCCCCACATCAGTGTTTGCTGTAAAGTTTCGGGTTGTTGGGGAAGCCCTAAACCCTGAACCTTCAAAGCGCAATCCTACAAACCCTAAACCCTAAACCCTAACCCTAAACCCTAAACCCCAAACCCTAAACCCTAAACCCACACCCGGAACCGCTCCTCCAGCTGCGTTGCGGTGAGGCCGCCATCCTCACCCAGCTCGCGCCGGAAGGAAGTCCGTACTTCGTCCATGGCTTCCGGGGCTCACTATGTCGACGATATAAAGCCTGCACTACCTTAAGGACCCTAAACTATGAGAATTGTGGTATATTCCTTACTACCGGTTTTGCAGGATTTATATCATCAACCGTAGGTCTCGATTTCAACACCCCCCAACATTGTTTATGGCTTGTGTTCTCTATCAACAGGACTTATGCCAAACCGGAACTAGTTTAAGATAATGGTTTTGTGGAGTTTTACATGGGGCCTATGGGACTCATGGATCGTTGATCAGGGCTGTGCATCAGGGTTCGGGACTTAGGGCTTAGGGTGAGGGACGACGTTGCGGCAACCGGGGCTTGGGCTCAGGGTTTGTGCGCTCATAGTTTCCATCCAACGTTAGGAACTCGCAAGGGATCTCATAAACAGAATCGCACTCCCAAACTGCTACGCCCTACATTCAGAACAGATGAAGAAACCCCTGAAATCCTGAACATGTCGCGGCGGGCGAGGGTACCACTCGAAGAGAGAGCTGAGGAGTGCTTGGGGATGTAAGCATTGGGTTTGAGGCTGTTTGGCTTTTTGCCATTGCCATCACACCAGTCCCTAAACCCTGAACCCCAAACCCTCAACCCTAAACCCCAAACCCTAAACCCTAAAGGGTACAGAAGTCTCAAGTTGCTTACGAGAGCCTCAGGCAGTAAGAAACGGAACCAGCAACTCGGAACCCTGGCCCTCCATACAGCATTTTACGCTAAATCAGTAGGGTTTAGGGTTTAGGGTTCTTTGGGGTCTAGGGTTTAGGGTTCTTTGGGGTCTAGGGTTTAGTTTAGGGTTTAGGGTCTAGGGTTTGGGGTTTAGGGTTTGGGCTTTAGGGTCCCTGTGTACGTACCGGAAGAGTCCTTCTTGAAGGGCTTGCAAAACCATTGTAGTCTGCTATATTCCAAACATCCAAGAACCTAAACCCTAAACCCTCAACCCTAAACCGAAAATTGTTTCTCTCTTGCAGAGCTTGGGTCTAGGAGTTGGCGTAGAGTTTTGAGTTGAGTTGCGTAGGAGCACAGACTTTATGAGACATTCAAATTTGCCCTGAAGGCTGTTGCGGGCGTAGTGGGCAAAAGTGTATACTAAACCCTAAACCCTAAACCCTAAACCCTAAACCTTAAACCCAAGCCTAAACCCTAAACCCTAAACCCTAAACCCAAGCCTAAACCCTAAATCCTACACCC